CAGGTGAAAATTTGCTATTTTTTTGTTTTTGATATTTTTTCTGAGTTTTATGTTGAAATTTATATTTTTTTAAATCCATAATTGTACCTAAGATTCACCCTTACAATAATATTGTAAAAAAAGAAAAAATTAAACAAATCAAATTTTTGTTAATTAATATTAAACATCAACATTAATTTTATTGACATTTTCTATTTTGCAAAGAATTATACAACCTGCAGTAGGAACACAACTTTTGGGAAAGCTTATCGCAGATAGCTTAAAACTGAGAGATTAACGTCCAGACGGACTGACGCACGGACAAACGAAAAAACGGTCGGACGGACGGATCAAGAATATATATACAAGGGTTTGGTGCAACGTACGGAGCCGGGAGCCGGAATGGCCAATGCAGTCGGAGCAATGTTGGATTCAGAGACTGGCTACAATGCTAAAATACCTGTAGACGAAGGAATTAGATTCGTCGGAGAGAGACACGTGTTTTCAATTCCTGGGATATTCTTGTCATAATTGAATGACAGGGCATGATTAAGGTTTCAGGCAGGTTCAAGTCACCATGGTTTGTGCGGGGTACCTGGGTGATTCATGCGTATTTTATCTCCTCCTGTTCCATTTTCATTGCCTTTTGTTTTTCAGTAAGAAATGTATTCATTTCATATATATATAGAATATTTTATTATGAATAATTTAATTTTTTTTGTTTGGTCTCACATTTTTATACCCTTGCAGAGGGTATTATAATTTCAGTCAGAAGTTTGCAACGCAGTGAAGGAGACGTTTCCGACCCTATAAAGTATATATATTCTTGATCAGCATCACTAGTAGAGTCGATCTAGCCATGTCCGTCTGTCCGTCCGTCTGTCCGTCCGTCTGTCCGTCCGTCTGTCCGTCCGTTTATATGCAAACTAGTCTCTCAGTTTTAAAGCTATCTGCATGAAACTTTCCCAAAAGTTGTCTTTCTATTGCAGGTAGTATATAAGTCGGAACGAGCCGGATCGGACGACTATAGCATATAGCTCCCATAGGAACAATCGGAAAAATAATTGAAAAAAAATTATAACTTTGCTGTTTTTTAATTTTTTGTTTAGTTCTTCGACATATAGCAATGGTTAAATATTTCAGAATTATGGTTTAAATTTCATCAAAATCGGACGACTATAGCATATAGCTCCCATAGGAACAATCGGAAAAATAAATGAAAATAAATTATAACTTTGCAGTTTTTTAATTTTTATACCCTTGCAGAGGGTATTATAATTTCAGTCAGAAGTTTGCAACGCAGTGAAGGAGACATCTCCGACCCTATAAAGTATATATATTCTTGATCAGCATCACTAGGCGAGTCGATCTAGCCATGTCCGTCTGTCCGTCTGTCCGTCCGTCTGTCCGTCTGTCCGTCCGTTTATATGCAAACTAGTCTCTCAGTTTTAAAGCTATCTGCATGAAACTTTCCCAAAAGTTGTCTTTCTATTGCAGGTAGTATATAAGTCGGAACGAGCCGGATCGGACGACTATAGCATATAGCTCCCATAGGAACAATCGGAAAAATAAATGAAAAAAAATTATAACTTTGCTGTTTTTTAATTTTTTGTTTAGTTCTTCGACATTTAGTAATGGTTAAATATTTCCGATTTACGGTTTAAATTTCATCAAAATCGGACGACTATAGCATATAGCTCCCATTGGAACAATCGGAAAAATAAATGAAAAAAAATTATTACTTTTCTGTTTTTTAATTTTTTGTTTAGTTCTTCGACATTTAGTAATGGTTAAATATTTCCGATTTACGGTTTAAATTTCATCAAAATCGGACGACTATAGCATATAGCTCCCATAGGAACAATCGGAAAAATAAATGAAAAAAAATTATAACTTTTCTGTTTTTTAGTTTTTTGTTTAGTTCTTCGACATTTAGTAATAGTTAAATATTTTCGATTAACGGTTTAAATTTCATCAAAGTCGGACGACTATATCATATAGCTTCAATAGGAACAATCGGAGAAATAAATGAAAAAAAAATTATAATTTTTCTGTTTTTTAATTTTTTGTTTAGTTCTTCGACATTTAGTAATGGTTAAATATTTCCAATTTACGGTTTAAGTTTCATCAAAGTCGGACGACTATATCATATAGCTCACATAGGAACAATAAAAATATATAAAAGACCTATCAAATAATTGAGCTGCAAATCATCATAGCTTCAATGTTTTTAAACATATACGCAAGTAAATTATAGTTTTAATGTTTTCAAAAATGTTTAATTCTTGCAATAGCTGCAAGGGTATATGAACTTCGGCTTGCCGAAGTTTGCTTCTCGTCTAGAGGATTTGGAGACCACAATACTAACATACTCTCCAGGGCGTGCTTCTTGGGTGCGTGCTTAAGTTTAACTATTTGTAAACCAATTCTTAAACTGTTTCAATTGTCTACCTCAACATCAGTTTTTCCAACTATCTGGAAAGATTTATTTTTGAACCCCATAAACAGGGAGGGAAGTCGGATGTTTAAAAGTTTAGATGTTTTTCTAAATTATTTGCAATATCTAAAGCATTTGTGCGCAATATTACTTCTCACCACTCATATCACCTTATCAATATGGTTTTGTTAAGCAGAGGTCTACTACTTGAACTGACATCTATTATAGTTAAAGGGTTCAATAATAAAATGCAGACTGGTGTTATATATACAGATTTTAGTATGGCTTTTGATTCTGTAAACCATTCTCTTCTTTTATTTAAATTAGATCGGCTCGGGTTTTCGAATAATCCTTTAACTTGGATTTCAAATTATTTGAATGGGAGAACGCAGTTTTCAATATGATTATCGAAACATCTGGAGTGCCTCAGGGTAGTCATCAATGATCTTCCTTCTGTCATAACACATTCTGAGTATAAATATATGCTGATGATGTTAAGCTTTGTTTGTTATCTGGTTTCGACTTACCGTCTGATATTGATTGTATTTAAAGATGGTATCAATCAAACCTCTTAAATCTGAATTACCTAAATGTAACGAAATGACCAAAAGTCTACTGTTAACAAGGCTACGAGTGCTCTTGGGCTTATTAAGCGATGGTCGAAAGAATTTAAAAATTCTTATACAACTTCTTTATCATTTACTTCCCTTGTCCGTCCTAATTTCGAATATTGCGCGCCCCTTTGGAGTCCATAATATCATGTACACATAGATCATATTGAGTCGGGGAAAACATATTTCTTTTTTTCGCCCTTCGTTGTTTGATCTGGGATCAAAACGTAAGGTTGCCTTCTTACTCTAGTAGATTACTATTGCTTAATTTAGCGAATAATGCTTGAAACTATTTTTTTGCACAATCGTGTCAAAGGTGATATTGACTCCATAGAATTGATAAGCCTTTTAACTTTTAATGAGCGTTTTGGGCCAACCCGCCACTACCTCTATCTTGCCAAGATGTACTTCAATTTTTGGCCTGCATGAACCCTTTTCCAGTTTTCACTTCCGAAAGGTTCACACGGATCAGATCCGCAAGAACAGAAATTAATTCTTTTTAAATTTTTTGCTATTACTTATTGTGCAAATGAAATTTTTGATGTTTTAAGAACATTGTTGCATAACAGATTTGGTAGTAGTAACATATTTCACTTTTTAAAAATTATTTTGTGATGGCACCTCAGAATCATTTCGATTCTAATTTACTGGAGATTTGCAAATCCGCTGCCCCTGCTCGAGATTCCGAACGAATTTAATAGAAACAAAGCAAGAGTTGCCATGGTACGAAAAAATATTTATTTTCTTGGGACTTATTTTTAGCAAGCGCACTTCGGTTTGTTTTTATATGGTAGGGTGTAACTTATCTAAGTTTAGTTTAAAGGTGTTTTTCTGCTTATTACCCCTTAAATTAACGTACTTATTGTGCAACGCGTGTTGTGTTGGAACCTTTTGCATCGTCTTTGGCAACTTTGGTCCTGAACACTATTTGTAACAAGTTTGCAACACTAGTGCCAAGCAGCAGATTCACTCAAGTTGGTCAAAACTTTTGTGGGTCAGTTTCAATCACTGCCTTTAAAATAAGTAGAATTTGTTATTTTTGGCTACCAATGATTTTTTGACTGATTTTAGACATTAACTGTGTGCACCAATAAAGCACAAAGATTAGGAACAGCAGCGGGCCAAATGTTGATCAGAGATTTGCCTGGGAAACTTGTGCAAATCATCTTAACAAAAGTTAAGAGCAGTAGCGGCAGTTAGCTGTTTTATTTCCCCCCAAATAGTAATTTCCTTATAAAATTTGTTAGCAAGAAAGAGAACTTTGGATATGTTAAAGGAAAATCCGCTAATGCTAACGAATTCACTTTCGAGTGAAAACTGAAACAGGCCTGATAATTCAAATTTCCATAGCAATGGCGTGGCAAACAAAAATTAAAATGAATTTCAATATCAACGCGATATACAACCAACAGCTTATGTTCCTCGACGACTTCTTTGCCCCTTCTTGCTCCCTCCGTTCTCAACTCTTGCAAACTGGTTCGCTGATTGTTCTTTCGCAATATCTCGTCGTGAAAAGGTTGGGAACACACTTCCCAAACATACACCTCAACCTTACATACATACATGTATTCATTTATCTCTTAATAGTCATATTTATTTCAAAGCTTTTAAAGGAGAAATTCAAATTTTTTCTAATGACGGCAAACATTTTTCAAAAAATGTATATTACAATTTCATGTTTGCATAATTGCACAATGATTTAAAAACAAATAATGAATGAAACTTGGTCTTTTGGACTCGGTAAATGAAATGGGAAGGAATCTTTGGCTCAGTTCTGGTTCACACCGATTAGGTATTAAATACTAGTATATTTGATGTTTGGTATTTATATTTTAAGAAAAGTACTTCTTCATGGATGCATAATGATAAAGCTTGAACTGAATTGAATTATTAAACGCCATTTGGCTTGAATGGAAAATAAAAAATATCAAATCGCGGCAACCGTGCTTTTATCGCTTTTGTGCAATGCTTACCACAACTGGCACTTATCGTGGTAAGAACTACTTTTTAGACATCCATAAGATTTGTGGAAAGGGGCGAACCCTTGTAGCATTTGCTGCAGACGCATCTCGTCGTCGTCGTGATCAACGAAATTAGTTGTGTCGCCATCTCCGCAAAAAAACTGAGCCAGATTGAGAAAAAAAATCTGTTCCAGGGAAATTTTTGTGAAGTCTGAAGTCCTGTTCCTGGCGTTCCGGAGGTATGTGGAGTAGGCTAGATCAAGACCGGAAATATCCGCAATTCGCTCGTCGAGATACTGCGTCTTGATGCGGTTCATGCACACCAAGCCCGCCTTAAAGCGCGGTGAGCTTATTATTTCAGTGCCGGTTTCGTGAGCGTTCCCGCGACTGTCGAATAAAAGACCTGTGGTATCGACGGAGTGCATCAACTCATGGGCGAGCACAAATCCCAATAGACTATACTTGAACACGTCGTGGCTGTCTGATACGAAGAACGGCTCTTGAAGAAGGCCATATGGCACGATTATGACGTTCTGACGCATCAGATAGTATGGGCTGGAGCTCATGGCTGTGTTCGGATCTGGCATGAAGAAAAACTCTTCGGCACTCAGAACCGTCTGGTGAAGTTGAGCCATTTTCTTTCGGGTGCGAAACTCCAGCAGCTTAAGGTGTTCCCGACCGTAGTCCAGGTCTGCGGACGGAAACACCAGGCCGTCATAGTACTGGCTGACGAAGCTCCGATGGTCACGGCTCCTAGGCATGTTGCCGATATTGAGGACGACATCTTGCGCCTTCCTGGCGACCATGCGCTTCTGCTTGTTGGTCAACCCAAGGCTATTTTGATCAATTTGTAGCAGGAACTGTCGGCGCAATTGCTCAAAGAGTTCTTTAACATCTTCGGTGTACTGGTGCAGGGTGGCAGGTGATAGGAATCGCTCCTCGTAGATCAGGTTCGAGGCTAGATTCAAGCCTCGGCGCATGTCCTTTATGCACTCGACGGGATCTCTGTCATCCATGGAGTCCTCTAGGATGTAAATCACGAATCGAGTCATGATATAGCTAGCTACCACCTGGGCATCTGAGGAGTCCATCAGCTGCTTAAGTGCAGTGAAATAGTGCAAGTTTTGAACTTGCAACCGAAAGTAGGGTGATATGCGGTAACCAACTATTAACTCAAAAAACATCTGCCAATCGTGGCCGGTTGCGCTCTCCAACTGATGTACACTAATAAGTTGGCTCTCATCGTCGTCGTCGTCTTCGACTAAGATCCGAATGGCGGACTCCAACCTTCTTATCTTTCGCGCCAGAGGTAGTACACTTTTTGACGGGACTTTCGTAACGTGAAGAGTTGCGATTGTTTCCATGAAACTATTTAGGTGCTGCGACTCTCCCTCGAAACTGGGCTTACTGAGGTCCAATAAAAATTGGCTGCTGTTCTGAAAATTCGGTGTTATTATCACGTTTATTAAAACATTGGAGAGACCGTAGCGATGCAGATATCCCAGGGTCTTGATCCACTTAAACTGATGCTTGGGCCAGGCGGTCGCACGGGGAGTTAGCTGGGGCCATGTAAGATCCTCGTCTGGAGGAGCCAGTCTTAGATAGTGTTCTGCACTGCGCGTGTTTAGCGAAGCGTTGCGACAAGTGACGTAAAATCGCAAGGCTTTGGCTTCCACACTCGACTTGATTAACCCTTGCAACTGATATCGCTGGTACAGCTCCTCCATCAATTGGACAAGGTTCTTATTCACCTTATGGTCTAACATCTGGGTGATCTCGGAAAAGGGATCGTTGATATGTCGCTCAGCATACTTGCCGCACGCATACTCGAAGTAATTACCGCAGGCATTGGCATCCTCGACTACATAGCTGAGAAGGTTGTTCAGAAGCCGAATGTTGGAATTGGCCTCAGACTTTTGAGCTGTAGAAGCAGCACAAATGAGAACAAACAATAGACAGCCAATCCACATCATCGCGGCGAGCAAACTGAACGAAAATCAACGATTACAGATTTGTTTGTGTACCACCTTTATCAGTTAATCAATGTGAGCAACAACTGATATTTATGAAGAGATAACCTAATGCGTCCTCAACTGGGATTTCCAAAAATTAATAGCGCATTGAATTTGCATTCAGCAATGCACTTTCTTGTACTTGCTTTTCACTTACGTGTACTTTGGTGACTCAATAATCATTTGATCGTTTTCGCGAGTCCAATAGTTTAGCGAGGTCGGGTTCGCCTCGATGAAGCACTCAAGGGTGATGTTGAATCCCATTGGTGTGCCCACCAGCTGATGCGGTATCCAAACCATTGGCGAGACTAGAAGAATAGATCCGACCATTTTATTGAACTATAAGTTTATTCAAGAAGCTTATTTATCAACCTACAGTCAACGCTGACTTTGATTCGTTTTGATACGCTAGGCGGGACTCCGTTTGAGGCAATGCATAAGTATGCGCCCATATGCAGGCGCGAAATTTTCTCCAGTTCGAGGGAGTCGGTCTCCAGTTCAGGCACTGTACATTATTTGGAGAAATTTAGTAGAAGCCTAAAAACTAAAATAGAAAGTAACTCACCTTCGAGCGACTTGTTAATCACTAATTTGTTGCCATCATCTCGTTTCCACTTGATGGTAGGTTCGGGGCTGCCTTTCGCCTTGCAGCGTAGCGTTACGTTATCGCCCTCGCGCACGATAATGTCGCTGGAGGTCAGGGCATCGTCAATATTGGGCGGCACTGAGAAGGGCAAGGAGTGATTATTGAGGAAGAATTGTTTGTGTACCAAAAATATAGAATCAAACAAAGCTGTAAGTAAATGCAAGGGGGACAATATAATATTGCCAAGAATGCGGCAAACGGATAGAAAATATTCTTGTCAACACTCTATTAAGGGGCTATACCAGTGTAACCCTCACAAAAATAGGCAATTTTTGGATTTTTTTATAAGGTAAATTTTCAGCTTTAATTTAACGATGGGCTGACTGCTGAGGCTCAAAAAAAAGAGTACTCAAACTGCTGTCATGATACCGGTCGAATCGTTGCTAAGATCAAAAAAAATTCCAAAAGATTATGAAAGATAATAGATTTCCCCAATGACCTACAATCTTTAAAAAGTTATAAATATTAAGAAAATACCATCGGTTTGAAAAAAGGCATTTTTTGGGGTGAAAAAATGATTTTTGATACCCTTGGAGAGGGTATTATAATTTCAGTCAGAAGTTTGCAACGCAGTGAAGGATATATTTCCGAACCTATAAAGTATATATTCTTATGAATTTTTCCCAAAAGTTGTCTTTCTATTGCAGGTAGAACATATGTCGGAACGACCATAGGAACAATCGGAAAAATAAAAGAAAAAAAATTATAACTTTTCTGTTTTTTAATTTTTTTTATTTATTTGACATTTATTAATGGTTAAGTATTTCAGAATTACGGTTTAAATTTCATCAAAATCGGACGACTATGACATAAAGCTTCCATAGGAACAATAAAGTTATTGAAAAAAAAAATATTTTTACAAAATGTAACTTTTCTATTATGTAATTTTTTTTTTTTAAATTATTTTTGACTTTTTAATAAGTTCAGAATTACGCTATCAATTTTATTAAAATCGGACAACGATATCGTATTCCTTCCATAAGAACTTTCAAATAATTGAGCTGCAATTAATCGATTCGGCTTAGGTAGGTTCAGGGTTCGAACCTAAAATATTGATAGGGCTTACGAACCGGTTTGTCGATATGGTGAAAAAGGGTTCAAAAGGGTAATTTAAATAATAATGCCCATTTTATTTTCATTGTTTTTCGTAATAATGTGTACCTTTGCATTAAGTCTTATAAATTAATCGATTTTTAAACTCGTTTTTTTACGTTACGTTTACTTGGACACTTAAAGATTTTAAAAAATATGTAATTGTACCATGTATGTAAAATCTATATGGCATTCCTATAAATACTCCAATGTAGGTATACTTTCTTAGACAACTGTATACGAGTTATAGAGTTACTTAATTGAAATTGGCAAATTGAATTGTGTTTGGTGCATTGTACTGTGTTACCCACATTATTTGTTTTAGTAGAAGTAATTTATATTTTAACATAACGAAAACACCTCTCAAAGAATTAAAGCTTTTTGTCTATAAGGTAAGAGCAATCTTAAAATGTACATTATAACTAATAGTTATAAAAAGGTATCTGCATTTAACTTTCGCAAAAGTTGTCTATTTATTGCAGGTAGTACATAAGTCGGAACGAGCCGGATCGCATAGCATATAGCTCCCATAGGAACAATCGGAAAAATAAATGACAAGAAAATTATAACTTTACAGTTTTTATTATTTTTTAGTTCTTCGACATATAGTAATGGTTAAATATTTCAGAATTACGGTTTAAGTTTCATCAAAATCGGACAACTATAAACTAAAGCACCCATGGGAACAATAAAAATATAAAAAAATAATTTTTATTAAAAAAAAAAAACTTTTTTATTTTGTAATTTTTTTTTTAAATTATATTTGATGTATAAATAATTTGACAGATCAGAATTACGCTTTTAATTTTATTAAAATCGGAAAACGATATCATGCAGCTGCCATAGGAACTATCAATTATTGAGCTGCAAATCGTCATAGCTTCAATGTTTTTAAACATATACGCAAGTAAATCATAATTTTAATGTTTTATGAATATTTAATTTTTGCAATAGCTGCAAGGGTATATGAACTTCGGCTTGTCGACGTTTGCTTCCTTTCTTGTTTTATTGTATTTTATTATTTTATAATACAGAGTCTATTGTAATTTTTCAGCTTTTAACTTTATTTTTTTATTTATTAATATTTTTTTTTAATTAATATTTTTGACTTTTAGTAATATGTCAATTTTAAATAATGTGTACTAAATCACAAAGGGAAAAATGATAATTGTGATATAAAATAGTAAGAAATTTATACTACGTAGTTTAATATGTAAGCTACATAGCGTTTACATGGTATGTCAATAACACTAAAGATTACGAAAAGTAAACTAGGAGTCTCGGTATAAATACACCGAGTAAGTTTAAGTTTTATAGTCGTGAGTACAGAATTGATAACTGCGAGAGTTTTATATTAATACCTTCGAACTCATATTATAAAGAAATCGTTGATACCCAATAGTTTGAAATTCATGTAACAATAGTTTAGTATCTATGGCAATTTTTTTTCTCTAAAGGCCGAAAATAATCGGGAGCCCCCACAGGTTGATGTCGCACAGAACCAACTGGCTTAAATATAAAATATGTAAATTCTCATATTAAACTAGCCCCGCAGCTCCACATCAAGGAGGACATCGATTGGAGTGCCGACGCACTTGAATAAGTACTCATCGCAGCAGCCAACATCTCCACAGCACTTGAGAACAATGTGCAGAGCAACCGATACAAAACTAATTTTTTTATTAAATAGCTTGTTTCGAAAAAAACGCGTTTGGCAAGCCAGCAGATCACCAACCTCCAAGCCATCTCTTCAGGAGGTTATTCGTAGACTTACCAGGGCTCTTAAGCATGAAGAAGAAGATACACAACGCGGGTTCATTGAAAAACTGTCCCCAACCAGTACAAAGCATCCCTTGTGGAAAGCTCACCCAAACCTAAGCGGCCCGGTCGATACAGTGACTCCTATAAGAAACTCTGCAGACAGCAAAGAACAAACACTACCGTCGCTTTCAATTCGTACTGAAACATAAACGGAGCCAATATAGTTCCGGCCAAAGTTTCTTAAGTCATCAAAGACCAATTGAAACCTAAAAAGTCTCCAGGCGGTGACTTAATTAATTTTGCAGTAAATGCCTATTGTTACTGCTCCAGTAGAGCAGTTTGGAAATTCATTATAATTTTGATACTTATTAATTTTTCTAAGAAGCTGTTATCGGCGTGAGCGATGACATTTGAGTTCAATCGATGTGCATCCACCAAGAGAGAACTATCGATAAGCAGTTTCAGCACGAGCATTGTTAGGAGAGGAATATTTTTTAAAGATATCGTAATTTGAATTTATTTTGAATATTAAATAAGCCATCTTATCGCCACAAGTGCTGTTAGAAAATTCAGGTTGATGGCAGGCTCCAACATTCTTAAAAAAATCGTACTATTCGTGTATTGAACGTCTAAGTTCCGTGCAAGGGAAAATATAATGAAAAGAAAAAATAACTGCTTCATATGTCTCAAGAAATTAAGTTCCGGTTATGCAAAGAAAATCATGAACTTGCTGCTGGTATAGTGATTCCTAGTTGGTTTCGTATATATAACAACGGTAAAGTTCCGCAGTAGCAAAGGGAAAAGGCACAATGCAAAATTCACATATACTTATCGAAACAACCGTTGGTTTCTAAACCTTGTACGTGTATGCGTAAATGTCAAATTTATTTGCGTAGATAAGAGCAATACAGTTCCGCAGAAAAGAATTTCACACAACCTTGAACACCTGATACCGTTTGGATATACATCGCTTTCGTTATAAAACTAACAATAAACTGACAACTAAGGCTGTGAGTAGGGACATAGCTTGCGAAAGCAAATACATTCCCCCAAAAGGTCAAAGAAAAGATCAAATGCGAAATCAATTACAAGAATCCGAAAATGTTTAATCGCGGTTGTAAAACAGATCGACACGGAAACGATATTAATTGGTTGCAATGTGCATCTTGCAAGACTTGGTATCATTATGCTTGTGTGAGCGAAGACAGTGATGATAACCTTTTAGGCTGGGCCTGCCCTACTTGCGCGCAAATTCCTTCCAACGACGCTATTAAAGATGTAGACACCACCAGTAGGGTACCGCAAGGATCAGCCGCACAGGGCCTACAAGTTAGGCCACCAGCTCCTGAAAAACAATTAAAAGGCTATCCGGACCCGATGCAGATCCTCGAAAAGAACTTGCAGCAAATCAACGTAGCTGAGGGCGAGATTGACAAAACAAGTTTGAATTATTCAAAGGCTCCAATAATCTTCAACACATCCCCTAAGGTTC